ATGGACTTCGTAGAAAACTTCGAGAGTGATCTCTAGAGAATTGCCACTGGGGAATTAATTACCCATCCGTTGCGTTGTTATTCTTAGTCTTAGATACATTGTTCGTTTGTTGAACCTGCTGTGGTTTTTCATGTATGTGTTATCTAACAAACGATAGATAGTTTAGTAGCTGCAGAAAGAAATAATGTCCATTAAACTGTCAGGTTATCGGTTGACTAAAATACCTGTTACTATTGAAAGCGCGGAAAGACATAATAAGACATGTTTTTTGTTCATTACGATGCAAATTTTTTAAATAATACAAACCAGCGGAAATAGGTTGTGTCTTTCGAATCGTAATCTATTACGCACTAACCCATAAATTCTTCCTCTCCTCCTTCAGTCCTTGCCGACCAGAAAACGAAAACCGTGTACAAATCTTATGCAGAAATCGATGCGGCACCAGAGGAAAAGCGGCGTGGTATTACCATAAATGCAGCCGTTGTTGACTACACTACTGAAGGTCGTCACTACGCTCACACTGACTGTCCTGGTCATGCCGATTACATTAAGAATATGATTACCGGCGCCAATCAAATGGAGTGCGCGATTATAGTCGTTGCTGCTACGGATGGCACTATGCCCCAAACCCGCGAGCACCTTCTTCTTGCCAAACAAATTGGCATCCAAAATATTGTCGTCTTCATCAACAAGGCTGATGCTGCCGATGCAGAGATGCTGGAATTAGTAGAACTGGAGATACGTGACACTCTTAAACAGTACGGTTATGATGGAGACAAAGTGCCTGTTGTTGCGGGGTCTGCACTGTATGCTCTTGAAGACAAGAATCCCGAGATTGGACGTGACAAAATAGTCGAGCTTCTAAAGGTCATTGATAGTGTGCCTATGCCAAAGCGCGATCTTGACAAACCATTCCTTCTTCCTGTCGAGCAAGTGTTTTCAATTACTGGACGTGGCACTGTCGCAACGGGCCGAATCGAACGTGGAAAGATAAAATTGCAGGACCCGGTAGAAATTATCGGCTACGACAAAAGCCTTAAGTCAACCGTAACGGGTAAGTTGTGGATTAGACGTATTGTGAAATTTTAACACAACTTTCCAAAAATATGATATTAAACTAGTAAAATTCGCCATGGCCTATTCCGTATTAACCATAACACACGAATGAAAGTGTATGAAGAATGCAACATAGTCTTTACTGCTGCACTCGCTATATGGTATCGGACACTCATGTTTGAGGCGGTCGGTTTTGATATTTTCCTTTGTTAAATAAAACAGAGGGTAGTGGTAGTCCACCATTGTTGGTTACTGCAATTACCTATTGATAAGTATATCTCAGTTGGACGGAGTTTTCACCCTATACATCAGGTTAAAAATAAGTGTTAGCACACAGTGAATTTTCCAAAACAAATTGCCCACATTCCTAACTTGTCTATCCTGTCTCAGGTGTCTGATTTGTTTCTTTCTGGATAGAAAGTTATTTCATTACTGTAGTGGAATAGTTTACAGCCAGGACTTGTCAGATACCCTATTATATCCGCCATCTCTCTGACCCATTTTCTACCTCTGTTGAATTGCTCCTTCAGTCGTCTATAGACGACATCGTGTCCCCCTAATGGACAGCAAGTATCTTTGCTCGCTGAAAAGCCCACCCACGTTTTTCATATTGACCAAGATTTTAAAAGCATAATAACAGTCGTGACCTTGATACATAGTAAAACGCACAACTTAACTGGAGCATCCACAACCCTCTAGAGCTTGTGTTATCACTCCTTGTTATGACCACGCCTGGTACTTGTAACTAGCATGAACTGTTAGCTTGCCCGGTCATTGTAAACAAAGCCAGCAAGAGAGAAGAAGAGAAGGCAATTGACCACGAGGAGAAGTGTATTCACACAAAGTACATCAAGGCAAGCTATTTACTCAAAAGGCTGCATGCGTTTAGCCAGTGCGTTTGAGGAGAAGGAGTCAGCAACGATGGGCCAATCAGATATGACGGAAAGTCGAAAGCCACAATGTGCGCTCTCGTGACTGCGGCGTAGTAGCTGTGCTAAGGAGCCTTTCTGTGTGTTGAGTCATCGTGGTAATGGAGGCATTTGCCAACACTCCCGTTCCCAAATTGGCGCCGACTAACTTACTAAAAGAGCTTTCTTAGCTAAGACGTTCATTTCGAGTTTGTACGGGAGGCCTTCGATTTACTTATGGCGGTCGCTTGACGTTTTGCCGCTCATTCGTTTAAACAAACAAGCAGAAGTAATTGGCATTGTCAACTTGTCGCCCTAGCTGCTACACATTGTTATTCAGCTGTTCATTTAGGTTAACTTTATTGACCTCTCATATCCGTTATTGAAGATGCGTCATTTTCCCTCAAATTCACCTTCGTTTCAGCCCTGTAGTGGTTTGAACGACGTCCTTGGTAGCAAGTCATAAAACCGAGAAATTCAGTTTATTGACCATAGATACACGTTAATACTATTAAACGAACATAATTCCACTACCTTATGTGGTTTACTATGCCTTTTCTTGCCAAAAAAGGCTGGAAGTGGGCATTTTCGCTATTCGACTTTTCTTCGTACTAGTTTCTGACAGGCACTTTGCATGACATACAACTTCCGATTTAGGCATCGAAATGTTCAAGCAAATGATGGAAGTTGGTGAAGCCGGTGATCAGGTTGGTATCCTCCTGCGAGGTGTGAAGCGGGACGACATCCGCCGTGGAATGGCTGTGTGTGCCCCCAAAACGGGAGCGATTCACAACTTCGTCGAAGCGCAGGTAAGCAAAGGGGCATTTTTATGATTCCACGCACAATTTTGTCCATTAAATCTGTTTTACTGAACTAGGATTCATACTCGAGCATGACCTCAGTTCTGGTAATAAGACAGCATAGGCTTTGTTCTCTATACTGTTCCTTTCTCCCACCCGTTTCCCTCCTTCTCAATGATTTCCCTTTTAAACCCCTGCCGCACTGATTCATCGTCACCAGTTTCTGTGCAACCTGCATATGCGTTGTTGCTCTGAAAGAGGTGGTGACCCGGACGCGAGGCTTCCAAGCCCGAACATAAATCTATTATCGTAAATAAGTAAAGCAGTAGCAAAAAGGCTGTGTTTGTAGTCTATTTAAGCTAATCGATACTGGCTGTTTGCTCCATAAAAGGCTTCGCGCTAGGTTGGTTGGTGGAGATGACAATTCTCATCCAATTTCGAGGTCCGTTTAGTCTCCCGCTTGTTTTCCTGTCTGCCCGACCAGTTATCCTAGTGCTGCAAATGTCAAACCAATGACCTCGTCTTAGTCATTTAAAATGGCTGTTCGCCTGTCTGCATTGTCAGCTTGTGTTCGTGCAGTTGTACTTCCAGTACAGCCTGCTTTCGTCCAATAGACAAGATCATTCTTTCTACCTGCGTTTTATTTCGTTTTTGATTCGTGTGATTTTTCTGTGTAGGGTTGCTTAGGGTCAATCAGCAATCCTTCAAAGATAGGCTTCGTCGCTTGAGAAGGATTTTTTCTGTACGACCAGGACTGTCATAGTTTATACGGCTTTACAAGTCCAGATAGAGAGCAAAGGGTCCTTCATTCACCATGAATAAAATAAGATACGGAAACAACAATTATCGACACCCTGGGGCAATGTCCTTGAATGTGTCACAACATTTGGGCCAAATTGAACTCCTTTCAAATCGCCGCTAGCGTCCATTGCCGATGATCTCATTGTGGTCGTTCGGATAAACAATAAGGAGTAAAAATCAGTTTTTAATGAGCGTAATAAGCCAGTCAATGCATAAATGAGAAAATATGAATGCGAATGGAGGTAAGAAAAAATGGCGGCTCAATTCAGAAAGCCTTTAGGCGAATACTCAAGTATGGGATAATGTGAGCTGCGACATGGCTATTTCGCTATTAGTTCAATAACAATGAACTCTAGCTCATCATTTTAAAAATTCTCCTGTACTCATATTTGTAGATCTATATGCTTTCCAAAAAAGAGGGCGGTCGTGCTAAGCCCTTCACCAACAACTTCCAACTGCAAATCTTCAGCAAGTCCTGGGACTGCCCTGCGTTTCTTATGTTAAAGGAAGGCCAAGAGCTGATAATGCCCGGAGAAGATGCCGGAATCAGCCTACACCTCCAAAAGAAAGTAGTAAGTTTACTCCCTCCAAAGAATTTTCTCGCGCAGTTTATCTGATCTGCGAGTTGGCTTTCATAAACGAGAATCTTTGAGCAGACAAGTTTTTGTAAGTGTAAAAATGGCAGAGGGGTTGTATATATACTGTAAAACTGACTCCCACTCATGCTCCAGGAAAGGAGGGTTACCCGTTAGCCTAGCTGCTGG